AATATACTACTCCAATTGAAATGGGAACCACAAAATTAATTAGCAGTAAGCGTGCCTATTGCAGTGGACATAACAATTATATTTTCCTATCCCCTCATAAAATAATTCCAATAAGTAACTAAATAACTATACACAATAGGCAATCGTGTACTCGTTTTTACGTGAATACGTGCAAATACGTACTCGTATCATGAACTTAAATTTAATAGAATTGTATTTTGGTATGCTATTCATGTGTTCACAGTTGATTTCAATCAAGAAATGTATTACGAAAATAAATATTTTCTTCGGATGAATATTTATGTGTAAATAAGAGTCCCAAAAATATGGAATCTCAGCCTAACATTGGAATTGGAATGTTTGGTATTCAATGAAAGCGAAGCTATCCGAATGGAAACTCAAAGCCTGATACAGTTAACACAATTATTCTGTAATTAATTGCTTTAAGTCTTTGAAATAGCGACTTTATCCTCTGAAGGTCGTAGGTATAATATGCGATACTGTTACCAGACCTCTATAATTTGTACGACTAGAATTAAGCCGAAAGATATTTTTTAGGTCGTGATTCACATAAAGTGACTGTGCTTGCCCTAAATACGTGCCTATGCGTACATCTTGGATAAAGGTTGAATTGAAATTTTACATCAGTTATTTCGATTAAATAGAAAAAGAATATGTTATTTTCGCATAAGACTTTAATCTAATATTTCAATCAAGCTTATATAGGTGCTTCATGCAAATGTTTATAACTAAACTATGCGTACGCTTATAGGATTCTGCGAAGAAACCTTTTTACAAAAATATTTGAGTACATTTCTAAAAACAAAGTTAACAGTACAAAGAACTGAGAGTTGTGAAAAATGAAGATCCTTCAAGACACCTAAGGTCAATGGCAAGAAGCTCTAAGACGGGTAAAGTACTCAGCTAAGTAAAGGAATGCTGGCTACAAAGACAATGCTACAAAGCCATCCAAGTTTGGTACTTTTAAATATTTAAATACTTGGAGAAAATAATAGGGGCATAGAACTTAGTTTGTAAGGAATCAGCTTTGTTCCAGAGCCGCGGAATAAGTATTGTAGAGTGTAAAAATAAATAAAAACATCGAACAAAAGTAAAACTAAACTAACTACTAAACACTGAACATGCACTGCCCTCTGTGTAATCACTAAATGGAGTCGATGACCGATAGATGCGGAAACTATTTATTCGTTGGAAATAAAATACTATTTTTCATTTTTATAAATATTCCTTTTAGGTTGGTAATATTGCATCTAATTTGCATTTTAAAGTTCTCCCAATCTGTTAGAAGTACTTATTAGTCTACTTATTAGCTTTACTATAAGGATAAGGAGGACACAGTGATTGATTTCACTATAGGATAATCAGTCACTGTGCATTCATAAGGCCCAGTCGTATGGCAAACTTTGGCATATGCCGATTGCAAAACAGGTTCAAGGTCTTCCGTTCATAAATATTATCCTCGTTCGAGTCCATATTTTGTTCTTATCACAGATATCATGACACCACCAAAAACAATAGAATTCTTATTTGTAGACGATTATTATGGAGACCCGAGTGAACACATACGTGACCAGAATGAACCGACAATTTACGACAACTGTCAGGACAACTTTTGAATTTCAGAGAATTTGCCAAATCAATACTGCGTTCCATAAATTAAATTTTTAGATGACTACATTCTTTCTGTTTACGTTACTCTAATTGTGAACGATCAAGAAATAGCGATGTTACCAGATGCTGGTAAAAAAACTGAGACACATGTTTGAAATAACAAAGAACCATGTTTACGTGAAACGAATATTTTGCTTAGAAGATCGCACTTTGAAAATTGTTCGTGATAGTGAAACGGGCAATCAAAAAAAATATCGTAGTACAGTTAGTAGAGTAGAGACGGATCGATATTGAATACTGACGAAGCAAGTATTCGCAAATATATCGTCTAGGTTACCTAACTATTCACAACATCAAAGTTACCTCTCCCATGCCTATAATTTCAAAGGAAACCTTGAAACGTCTGGAGACACCTAAACCATTTAGCAGGAGCTGACAAAGATAAATCTGAAAAATAACTCTGTAACTATAATTCTCTGTTGAAGTTTGACGAATTATTTGCAATAAATATTTAGGTACCTCGTGTCATGTTTTACACAGACACTAATACAACACATAACCAAATAAACACAAGTGTGCGAATATGTCATACTAATGGACACACAATATTGAAATTGTACGTACACATTATCATGTAAATTCATTCGTAATGTAAACGTACTAATCTTATCAAATAATATTCGTACCTAATGAGTCATTTAGTGAGGTGTAAACTACAGAGCTGTTGTTATGTCGTGATATGCAGGTAAAGAGGCTAAGCGCAAGGTCGACCAACAAACTGAAAGATTAGTAGGTAGTTACCCACTATTTGAAAACCTTATCTCGTCTGATTTAACTTTATAACCAGCCTAGCGATATGCGCGGTTTTAAGCGCATATTTTTTCGTGTATTCAATTGATATTCAGATCCCTAGCAACGCGTGCCCACGATATTTTACTTTGAAAGCACATTTTGCTAGTCATTGCAAAAACTGGCTAGGCTGGCTTTTAATTAGATTTTAATAGCGTCACCGGCTCATTGTCCGGGTAAACAATTTACGATAGTATATCAACTATACAGATAGAACCATATACATGTTAGTTCGAGACGATTTAAAAACCTTTAATCCATATCTAGTGGAAGCACTGCAGCTTTAAGAGCTTAACGTGATATTTTTCTCGTATATTTTTCTGTTACAGCGCTAAATGACGATCGCAGTGGGGTGCAAATTACTTTTCGCTGTCAAACAATGAACGCGTAGTCTACAGTAAGAGACGACCTTCCCTAATTTTCTTTAAATGCCCTGGTTTTCGTTCTGCTGCAGACTTGGTTACGGAAAACTAAAACGAATACCGCATTTTTACTAGAAAATTAAAGTTTCTGAAAGAGAAGTCGTTTAGATTATCAGATCTTTTTGTTCCAGATTATATAATTCCATAATGCTGCTTGAGAGGTCTAATAGGCACTCTGAAGAATAAACAATAACTTTTATGCTAAACCAAAACATCACCATTCTAAAGGGACTTGTTGATGCCATTTAGGAAATATTTCAGTTTAAACATAATTATTTGATAATTTGTTTATTTATTTTTTGGTCTAACAATAAGAATTTACGACGTAATCGGAAAATATAATTTGTAATGCTTATTGGAATCTAATTCAAGAAATAATGTTTATTTCTGATCCAATTCAGAAATGAATTGGATCATTGGATTGGTGAGTACTGTTGTAATTTATGCAATAAAGTGAAATAGGTAGTTTACATTTAAATAAAAACCTGTTTCAAATCTTTCCTCATAATTATTATGATACTTACCTATGAACTTATTTAAATACCTAAGTAAGTAATTTTCCTACCAAATCATATGAGAATTTTCCAGTTGATTGTAAAAAGGTACTTTCATAGGAACATAATTTATTTCTGGTCAAAGAAGTCTGTTTCTAACTGTGTACACAGTACCTTTACTTATACAGGCTAAACATACATACATATGAGACTACCATCATGCAAGACAGTAGCCAAACATCAACCTATCAAGGATATAAAAAAAATCTTACATAACCTGATGCCTGTCTCCCAACCATGGCAGTAGGTAGAGACTATGGTATACGAATTGCCACGATTCTTACATGCATCTTTCGCTTCATCAACATTCATCAGTCTTTTCATGCATGCATGCATTGGTTCACCATGTTTTGATTTAATTAATATGTACATAACAAAATTAGTAAGTTAATTGAAACAGAGAAATAGTAACAAAATTATAAATGTTAAACATGACTTCAAAATAACAAATGAGAACATCGCTAGAACTGTTTTGTATTTTTCATAAAAGCTTTTTAAGTGCATTATCAATTGATATGAGAGTTTGATAAACTGATAGAATGCATAATATGAATACTGATATTGTTCTTGTAACACTAGCATTACATCATCACTTGTTTATGAGAAACATTGAATTATCAGCCTTATTTGTCCTTCCAAATTAATGTGTTGACTCGACAAACATTACCTATATTTAACTCGTTGAGTACCAGTTTTATAGACACAATTAAAGAACAATAGGTTGCGGTCACCGGTGACCGCTTGGTGTTTGACAGTTTAAACTATAGGAATAGAACACACAATACTGGTGACTAATAAAAGAATAGATAAATTGCTATTTTTTTTTTTAAAGAATGTCTCTCGTGTCTCCAATTTGATGTTTAGGCTATACACTTATAATGCCAGAGTATTATGTACCATGTCTAATTTGCAAAATCAATTTACCTGCTATATTTTCATATCAGTTGCAAAATTATTCTATTGTAGAAGGAAAATAATAAATCTAATTGTAATTTTATAGGTTTGTCCATATTCCAATACAGTACTATTAGAAATACCTACTTAGAGTTAGATAATACTGTTTTTCAAGCTTACCATAAAAGTTTTTTGTTTAGGTTGGTGATTATAGTTAAAAATTACTATAATCTCATATCAATATCAAATAAACTATTGTAGGAAATGGGAACAATAGTTAAGTAACTACTTATTTATCTTTCAGGACAACCTGTTTAGCTACAAACATAAATCTCATTGTTATGCCTATTTATGTAAACTAAGCTAACCAAATTTACATAAAAGCAAAAACTTATCTTACTTAGAAATTATTAAAGACCAAAATACTATGAAAATCACATTATTTACTTGTACGTCAAACAAGAGTATGGTTATAGAAAAGTGCACTTGCTGTCAATAAAAGTTTACTTTTACTGAAACAAAACAAACTTCGCCTACCCATGAATTACATAAAAGTTATCAGAACTTGTGGAATGTAACGCTTTATTTAACGTTATAAAAATTACAAGCTTCAATGATTTTATCGTAATCTAAAATAATCTATACTTACACAACCATGCCATAGGCGCCTTCGCCGATGTATTGCAGATTCGTATATCTGGGCCCTACTTCGAACACCTGGCCCCGAATGATCTCCGCGTTGGGATTACTGCTCGCGGCACCTGCAGCCTCAGCCATCGCGACACACAGAGGGAAGCCACTTAACCAACGGTAACAATACTGAGTTCAGCATAAATTTTTACACACGAGCGACACCAGACTGCCGATTGTTCAGTCCACAATTCCACATTTAATATCCAAAACAAATTGCTACTCGACCTACATTATCCACTACTCGAACAAATCGTCCACTTGTCAATTGCTTATCATTCTCGCTAGCCTGTTTGTCCGACTTTTCATGGACACTCCCGTATAGACGCAGTACCGTTACAAAATGAACTCGATTTTTTCTCCATCTCTACAAGCGTGTTCCATGTTGTGATATTTAACATCTATTCTATTTATTGATGTTGTTTCTCTCTATTACAGTGTGTTAAAACGAGATAGAGCTATCCAGTTTTTATTGAATTGTTTTATTTAATTCTTTGTTTTGCTTCATTTATTTATTTTAAACACATTACTAAAAATATGCATTTGGTTAATATATGTACGGCGATTGTAAAAAGAAATCGGACATTTTTAAACGAATAGTGTCTCAAAAGCCTGTTAGCGAAACGTATACTACGGAATGTCATTCCTAACGGTGACAATGACAGCTGGCTGCTCATGACTTTGACATGAAATGATGAAATCTGTCTTATTTGACAACTAACTAATGACGTTTACGGTTTTATACGGATGGAGTAGTAAAATAGTATTTTTTGTAAAACTGAAATAAATATTGAAGGCATAAGTAATTTTAAGCTAAACTTTGAATGTTTAAATTAGTAGAAGATGTAATATTTCTATAACCGATCTGTCATTTACATAGAGTAAAGGCTTATAGGCCCTGATTGACCTCGTCGACTGATCGAAGGACTATCGTGCAAATAATTTAGGTATGTCGGTTTGGTCAGCCAGTACTGCTGGAAATAATTACCACTCCGCTTTACCAGGTGGTCAATTCGGTCCCTCTAACAACTGGTGTCCAAAATTGAGCAAGGTATGATATAACTTTAGTTGCATGTTAATAACATTGTTTTTACTAAACTTAGCTTGATTCTGAATGACAACTGTAATTACTGTTTACTAGTAGCTAGTTGTGTATCAGTCGTGAAGGAGTGCGGCGCACTTCAGACGCGCGCTCAGTAATAATGCTTGACCAACTCTCATTTAATTATCTTCTAAAGTACTGACTATTATCATTATTTGTGCTGTGGAATTGAGTGGACTGTGATGTAGGAATCCAATTTGTTTCTTGACTTTGAACTTCATTTAAGGGTATGACATTATTTTGCATTACCAGTATTAAGTGTCATAGATATTATTGCTTGAAACATCAGCTTATTATTAATTTGTTTTATCTATTCTACATCTTTGTTATTGATATTTTATGCACCTAAATTTAACTGTGTCACAGATTATGATGTACTTACACCTGTCTTGATAATTATTTAGTATATTTATACAAATTCCTATTAATATTTATTTACTATGTATAAAATTATTTTAAAATGCTTGCAGTGATTAAGTTTGTGTGTTAAAAGTTACTTTATTGACATGATTTTTTATTTTGTCCTATAAAGGAGTGGATGACAGGTATTTAGCGAGCATTTTGATCAGTTTTGTGGCACGCAGACACTGAAGATTGTACTACTTATCATTTTCTAACAAGAGTGAGTTTACAATGGTTGTTATTGGGAGAAGGGTTTCAGTTTAAGTCATCTAACTCCATGTTTTTAATGAATCCATACATCACATAATTCATTACTGAACCTGTAGCCTTAGTTTCGTAGTCCTAGACCGCGTAAAACACTGAAAGTTGTCCAGATAATACGGCATAATGATGTCAAGGGCATAGAACTGTTGGACCGTGGTACTGTGGTACTTTTTATCGCAATGCATTATCATTACATAAACATTATACAGTTTGTGGTCATTTGATAAAATTATATGTGAAATATGTATTTAAATATGACCTAGAGGTGTGTCTACATGTTTAAATTATTTGATAAGGTAATACTTTCTTAAATAGTTCTGTTCCGTAAAATTAAACTTATTCATATTCATACAGAAAGTGATTTTGGTATTTTTAATTCTTTTGGTGATTTTTATTTATCTGTGCCTGCATATGTGTTCTTTTTTCTTTTCTATATGGATATAAAACTTAATATAATCATATCAAAATCATACAGGAGTTTGTTATTAAATGACAAATAGCAATTTTCCTTTGAATATTTTATCTACATTAACTATTGTATTGATGTTTAAGTTGTACCTACCGAAATATTGTGTCATCTCTGTTATTTTACGAAGATTTTTTTAAATGATACTCAATTTAAATTAGGACTTAAAATGTTTGAGAATTTCGACATCAGAGATTTATTATTTTAACTTAAGCATGTGATTATTGACTATCCTTATAGAGTTCTAGTTATAAAATTATGTGATGTTTGGATGACACTGTAGTGGCTACTATTTAGACTTGGTGAAACTGCTTTCTGTACTATAAATAAACAGCAAATTTTTACTACCACTGCTCTTTTAAGAAAAATTCAATAGACATTCTCTTTATCAAATCATTAAAAATGTTATGGAGGACACATGAAATCTTATGCTAATAGCTCTTAGATTTTTATTTGCATTCAGTTTAGTTTTGTATCTTTGTTTGTATTCGAAAAATACGCATTTACCATCTGCATTAGCCAGAATAAATACTCTGTGCTGAAATAGCTTCCTTAGAGAGGTTTTTTTATAATCCTCATGCTTGGCAAACGATTTGGAGATCGCAATTAGACCACCGATTTAACAATGCGATCTGCTATGTCAGCTGGTCACAGTTTTAAAACATACTGTGATCTTTAAAAAGTTCTAAAACTATTAAATTTATCTTTTACCACATTCAACACAGATTAATGTGATTGGCCAAAATATCTATTAGCTTATTGCCTGTTGAATCTCAAAGTATCTATCAGTATCAGTATTAGTAATTACCTTTAACTAATATTTTCGATAGTTGGGCTATTCTCCAATATTTTTGATTCAATCTGAGACACAGATTATCTCTAATATTTTTTCGCTACGAATCTATGTTGACCCATAGATATCCTAGTGATAAGGTCTAATGTGCCCTCTATAAACCCGATAACTATAAACTAGCATAGTATTAGTAATTACTACGGATTTGCTTGTCACTAGGAGAGTTAATAGAGGCTTTGATAAATGGCGCAGTTTGATGGATTCATTGGTTGCATCCTTATCTTAAATTTTGTGGTAGTTAATTGGTGTTCACTGTGCTCACAGTTTGATGGTCAAACGTGGTCGATTATTTTAAGCAGTGTATGGTAGGAAGGGGTCTTGTAACAGGGTAAAACAGCATGCAGGGATTATGCATCTTTCTGCATCTCAGAACAACTGGTTTTTTAAGAGGACAACATCTTAATTAGATATGAAATGATTTTATAAATAACCTAGTTTTAGAAAATTGTTTGGGTCTCGATGATTCTCTTGCTTTCGATAGAAACCAGTGAGTCAAAAATAAGACACTTTTACTGTCGAATCTAATGCTGATATTGCAACACTGCGTTCGGCTTGGCTTTGTAGCGCAATTAAGACAGAAATTATCTCTAGAATGATAAGAGATCTTCTACCCTTTGCTTCCTTAATTATAGTTAATTGATGGGTATTTGCTGCTACGGAAAACCGTAACGGAAACGTGGTGGTGGTCCCATAGGGTTTCATTTAATTTAATCAATTACCAGCAGAGTGGTCTCAGGTCAGTCTCTAATTACCTACTTCTTAAATTACTTAATTGTTGTTTTATGTTGTTTCTTTGTGAATAATCTTTTTTTGTAGCCATATTATATTGATTTTATATATGTTTTGTAAGTGTCCCTAATATTCCTATTTTGATGTGCAATGTGTTTTTGTTTCTGTATAATAATCCTCATATATTTGTTGCAATGATAATACTGCCCACGGACTTAATAGCAGTCATCAGCTTAAAATGATAAAAGTTGAAACATGTGAGTAACATATCATGTACCAACGATACCACCGTAACTCAAACATGATTTTCCCATTAAAGATGCCATTATGCGGTTCATAACTTGGTTTTACAATAAAACTGGGTGATGGTACATTTGTTTAGGAATCATGGTGTGTTAATGTGTTCTGGTATTGGCAGCAGCATAAGTGCGTGATGTCGGGTGAGACTCCGATCCAGTCGGCGGACGGGCTCCACACGCCAGCCTACTTGTCATGGAGGAAGCTGCAGCTCAGCAGGGCAAAGCTCAAAGCCTCCAGCAAGACATCAGCTCTACTCTCCGGATTCGCTATGGTATGTCTTTTACATTTACCTATATAAAAACGGATTTATTGCAGTTTCAAAATGTAATTGCAATATAAAAGACTTATGCTTCAATACTTTGTAATGTGGTAAAGGGCGATTATATAATATTACAGCAATACGCTATCTTATCAAAAATCAATACTAGATAACAAATAATTTCCGTAACATTATTAGAAGATAACGATAGCATAATTTGTCAACAGGTAGCGATGGTTGAGGTCCAACTTAATCCTCCTGACAACACGAAAGTGCCTAACGAAATGCTAGTAGCCTTCACAGTGTGTACGACACTACTAGTTGCAGTGCACATGCTGGCTCTTATGATAAGTACATGTATCCTGCCGAACATCGAAGCCGTTGGTAATCTCCACAGCATATCACTCGTCCACGAATCGCCACACGAACGACTCCACTGGTACATAGAGATAGCGTGGGCTTTCTCCACGCTACTTGGACTCATACTGTTCCTCATAGAGATAGCTATACTCTGCTGGGTCAAGTTCTACGACCTGAGTCCGACGGCAGCATGGTCTGCTTGCGTCGTCCTCATTCCAGTCATGATTGTGTTCCTAGCGTTCGCTATACACTTCTACATGTCGTTGGCCAGGCACAAATACGAAGTGACAGCCACAGGCATTAAAGAACTTGAATTGCTCAAAGAACAGATCGAAATGGGTGATCATGATGCTCGTATGAATAATTTGACGTTGCTTGACCAAAGCCGCATCGTTTGATTGTCGACGTGAGTGTCCTATGTCCTATTTGGAATGTTATATTACCTTTTGTTTGTGAGTGTACACCATTGATTATTAGGTAAGTTATTATGTACTTAGATTGTTAAGATTGTACTTATTGAGTGCCAACGTACAGGTTACACGGTACGGACAGTTTATGGGCGCATTAATTGCTCAAATGTTACTACAGGGCTTATAAGGACTTAGTTACTGCCGCAAGGAAATTGAATCGGTAATGCCGACAGACTTTTTGGTACAATGTAAATGTAATGGCTCGTGTGTTTTAGCCCTGTAGTGTTGTTTTTGAAGATTGTGTTGCGGTGACAATGTGCCTTGTGGGAAGATGGACCTTCTTAATGTCTTCCTAAACCAGTTAATTTTATAGGAATGTTATTATTAGTAGGTGCCCACGAGTCATAAAACCCCAATGCAGTTATAACTCGCGCTCTGACACATGTTTTGTAGACGGCCTTGTGAATGTCGATGACATCTCACATTTCCGCGAAACATCACCATAGGCACAAGGCTCAACCGCAAATCTTTATTGCGTCACAATGTAAAAAACAATGTCAAAAAACGGTCACACGTATGAATTTAGGCAGCAGATGAAGGAATGTATGAATTTGAGTTGAATTAAAATATGTTTTATTATTTTTTATTATTATATTATTTTTTGTTTTAAAATCTCATTTTGTATACAGGTAGTAGAAACAGACAAAGTAAACTAGATATAGATTATAACAATAATAACGAATCTCTGTGAATAGGTACATGTAATGTTTATAATATCAACGACGCCATAAGTCTCGATTTGAATGAACGCCAATCTATTAGAATTACTAGGTAGAAGTAATTAATACTGTTCCAGTTGCATTGATCAAATCCAATCCTTATAGATGATATGACGTACAAACCGTAATAAGCCTATATTATAGATATTATATTAGGATCTTATTAAAAAAAATACGAATTTGTCGACAAGAATCACCCTGCTGCTGATTTAGATGGTTGGCCTACCCTAATTTTCCCAGGGACGTTGAAAAAAGGCGTACACAATGTCACTTAGATATGATTAAAGCACCAAAATATATTGTAACCAACTGCTACATTCGTTGTTTTAAGAAACTGTCTCCATATTTTCAACCGACTTCAAAAAAAAGGAGGAAGTTCTCAATTCGGCTGTATTTTTTTTATATTTGTTATTTTCAACGTCCTTGAATTTTCCATTCAGTGGTCTTTAATAAACAATTTCTATTATTATTTAATCATTCTAATAATTATCAATTTGGAATAGGTATCCAATATCTCTAATCCACATCGTTTTTATTTTTTTTGTTCAATTGTGTTCTGAATTTGGCTCATCCATAAATGAGTAAGACCTTCTTTGATATTTTTATGTGCTATGTATTAAATTTTAGTGCAATATTTAAATACAATTTTTATCCTCTGAATACAATTTTAATAAAAAATTAAATGTGGCAATATTTTTTGTAGTACTTAGAATACATTGGTAAGACATTTATGTAAGGTAAGGTGCCTACTTTACATGTCAATTTCTGTTTAAGTTTTCATATCACAATTCTTTCACTTACAATAATTATGTAGAATATGTAAATAGTTTATTTATCATGATCTTTAAAACACAATAAATGTTCATGTACCAGCGCATGTGCCGTTATAAAAATTTAGATTTTTTGGGCAATAGTTCTAGGTGCTTATATTCTTATAAAATGGCGTCCCTTTGGTTTGGCGCCATTTTTGACAAAAACGAAAGTCAAAAGATAGTGTAAAATATGTATCCTTTATTCAATGAAATAAGTATCTATAAAATAAAATTAAACAAATAAATTACATATACATTACAATAGCCAAAAATCTAGTAAAACAATAAAAAATTTGGTACTTACCTAAAGACCTATTAATCTAGGTGCCTATTTGAGATGCTAACCGATTCAATGCTACATTTGACTTGACATTTTTCTGCGTAGAAACTGCCTACAGTACAGAAACCAACAGGTTAACATACTCCTTTCTCTCAAATTATTTTCAACTATATTGTTCTGGTATAAAGTCAAAAATCCAATGGAAAATGTACAGAATGGCTGTAGCTTGACCTGCTGTACCTGTGTTTATGCATGATTAGGTTTGCTAGTAAGTCAAACGTGATCGTTCCGAAGCTCTACATCGACGCGAAAGGGTTAATGTACCGTAAATGTCACTGGAGTTATATTTCAACCGCAGCCGGAGTATAAAAGATGCCATGTTTATTAAAAAATCCAGAAAAAATGTATCGAACAGCGATGCATGTGATTTTTCTTAAAAACGCGTAAAAACATCAATAAAATTATTATGAAATACAATATTTTGTCAAAATCGAAACACAGTCCATATGGCTGTTCTGTATAAATAAAAATGAATTTCCGTTCGTTAGTCTCGCTAAAATTCGGGAACGACTGAACCAATTTGACTAATTTTAGTCTTGAAATGTTGATGGAAGTCCAAGGAAGGTTTAAAAGGTGAGAAAAACAATTTATAGGCGGTACGAATTTTGCCGGGTCAACTAGTAAAAACTACCTATTTATTAAAATCGTCGTTAATTTTGTTTGCATAATAATACCTACACGGCGTAATTTTGTACTGAAAAATATTGTTTAGCAATTCTCACGTCCAATCAACAATTAACGTAAACGTGCTTAACTAGGAACACCGATAAATATCGTGAAGCCACGCGAACTAGTAGATACGAACTTCATAATAACACCGCTAAGTAATTACCTATTATGCAAACCGATAAGATGGCTGACGGTTGCTACAATAAAATAACATTATGTGAGTATGGTCATAACACTTTGTGTATCATAACAACAAGTGACCATTTCCACATGCCATACAAATCCCTCTATTTTATTAAATTTTGTCGTTATTCCGTTACACCGCATATCTCATGATTATGGGCTCCAGTTGAGCTCGAAACTAGTCTGACATATCGTAATAGAATTATTTCAAAAAGCATAAAAAATTGTACGTACCGACAACCTTTCTAATTCCGACGAGTGGAGCTGGGAACATCTTAAATGTCTAATATAACATCTATAAGATATAAATACTATCGTAGCATTGAACCGGTGACAAATCAACATAAATGTACCTTTTTTAACTAGCGCAAGCGCTGTACACATTATATCTATTAATTTGTAAGCCGAAAACTTAGGGCAATAACATGATATTGACTGTATTTATTACTTAATCCAATAAGTACTGTGATATAATAATGAATGACATTAATAAATCTGTTAATATATAAGTGAATTTAGTATTTAAATTGTATAATATATCTAAAAAAATAACCTGTAGAATTTTATATAAGAAATAATTTTACAATGTTGTTATTTTTAATGATCTTGTAAAACACATATTATTATTATTACATTTGGTCGATGCATTTTCTGAGGTTTTTGTCAAATTCTCCCGTCTTCTGTTTCATCCAAAACTCGCTGTATTCGAGAATGTGCTTCGGGAATTTCAATTCAACCTGTAACGAGTAATACAAAATTAATAAAATTGTAACATTTATACATTTACCACCCGTACAAGCATGGGCCAGTTCAGTCGCAAATCCAATCATGATGCTGGCTATTTCATAAGTAAAATCTATATTTAGCGATTGTTTATGTTTCTTTTAATCAACCTTTAAGTAGGCAAGTAAGAAATAATAAGTACCTACCTATGTAGTACTTAGGTGTAGAGTGTGTCAGTATTACCTAAGTATATAAAATACACTTGGTTATGAATCATCATTTTTTTAAGGGAGGAAAGTCATCGTATGGCTTCTCCAGCCTGGGTGAGGCGGGAGGGATGGTCAGACTCTTACTGACTAAAAACTACTCCCTTCCTACTCCTGCACTTCGAGCCGGAGTCCCGATAACCCGTTAATTTCTCCGCGGCTCCTTACCGGACCAGTTTACCGGTTGATTACGGACTAATAAAATGTCCACTGCATAAATACTAGGTATCTAGTTATATTTGCTTACAGTAGTGACTTTGGTACATAAGGAGAGATTATAGATATGTACTATGTATACACCAACTTAGAAACATGTGTAATGTACCTGAATCTTGAAACATGAAACACCCTTGAAACATGGATACAATATGCATATATGTATGTATGTGAAACTGTATCACCATAATCCTAACAAGTCTCATGCCTGTACCATATTATTTACCTCTCATTTATTTATAGAATATAGAATTTGCACCTATCTAGTGTCTGATTCGAAATGTGCAATATCTCCTGTTTCTTTGAAAAACCTACAGCTGCCCTCTGAAGGGTCGAAGGTCGCTAGAAAGGACAAATACCTGATGGGCTGGTAAGGCTTCATCCATCGTCAACTTCTTTTTATTTTACCTACAGGGTCAATAGCTTTTAGATGACGTATGCCGTTGGGCCTTGTCCATCGACAATCGTGCATCAAAACATAAGACATTCAGTCAAAACTTGTTTGATTATCCAATGATGTCATCAGTTCATTTCGGTATAAGGAAATGTGACCGTCGAAAACCCAGTGCTATACCTAGTGGTTATAGGTATATTAATATGTAGTATGTAGCTTTTCGCATAGTCAGAATTCCTTAAATGCAATAAATATCATACAAATTTAAAAAAAAGGATAAGATCCGTTTTAAGAACTTGCAGTTAGCATCATCTTTTTTATTTATTTTCTTTTGTTTGACGTAAGTTGTCTCTGTGACGTCATAGCGTATGTCCTGTGTTGCTTGTGTCGAATACAGAATGTAACCGACATCATTGGGAATTCCATAGAATTTGCATTTTTTATTCACCTTTACCTATTATTTGTATAGATAGGAACAAAACATAGAATGCACCTAATAAGATGACCTTTCTTAGCTCACCCTCGTAGTTTGTGAAAGGAAAAAGAGTTCGCACTTAGGTAATTATAATTTTTAGAAAAAATAGGTAGGTATTGCATGCGTTATATCATTATATATGTAGGTATTTACACAGCTATGTACTTGGATTATTGGATTTACGTATAAATACATACAGTACAGTCACTTAGCCGGTGCCAGTGTTTCTATGCGTTAATTTACAATTCATGTGAATTTTTCAACAACAGTTTTTGCGACTCAACCTAAGTATTAGCCATGCTAACAACATTGCATTGTTTCGAAGTAATTATGTAAATTACCTTGTTTAATTGAACGTAAGTACTTTAGGCAGTAATTTTTCCTTTTATAGAAAGGTATCTGTGTACATACACGACACCTGTAATGTCCTGTTCACCCAGACCAGCCGCTTTAGGTGAATTCAATCAATACATATTATTACCCACTTAGTATATGTCTATAAATAACGTTTTTATTTCTGTGAATAAACCTCGAACTTTAGAACCGGCTTGATTGCTAATGCTGCCGCTCCGCATACTATCCTGTTCACTCAAGTAAGTGCAAAGTCACTGATTCATTTCGTCTGCAAATTGTAAGTATCTACCTACTAATAGCAACTAAGTGTGAAAATTCGTAAGACTACCTTATTTTGGAATAGACAGAATTAATAATTGTCGTTATCAGTCGTTGCTGTAAAATCTACGCTTTGCGAATGCTTTGAATATCGCAGACTTAGTTCCGACTTAGTTCGAAAATTTGTCCAGGGAATACTTACCTAATAACTTGTGCCAGGTGAGTAGGTATTTAAATATATCAGGACAATAATAATCAGCGAGCAAGAACTGAACTAAAAGCAATGTGGCTTGATTTTTTCGTCCTTTTTTATAACACTCTCTGTAACACCTTTTTTTGAGAGGGGAAAATCATTCAATGACTTCTCCCGCCCGGTTGAGGCGAGAGGGAGCGTCAGACTCTTACTGGCTGTAAACCACCCCGTTCCTACTCCTGCACTTCGAGCCGGAGCCCCGGTAACCCCGTTAAGTGCTCCGCGGCTCCGTATCGGCATCAGCCCTATTGGGCCCTGTGCATCTGTGGTGGTTTGATGGTCCTTTCGAAGCGCGCGCGGCACGCGACGCACCGTATGCTCGGGTCTGGTTCTGGTATGACGGCGGGTTACCCGTGCTCGCTATCCGCAGGCCCGTGCTTACGGTGGCTGGAGATCGTCTTGGGGTACTGTAACACCTGGGTGTCTGTTGCAGGAACTTATCTAACTGAACTATACATAGATACGAACGAAGACACTTATAATTACTTATTGTTTTCTAAAGATATTGTGTTTCGAGGCGCTACATACCAACCTACGTAGATATTTACTATGTAACAATATAATTATATCCACTTATTGTTACAATGACAAAACCTCCATGTCCTCATAGAGCTGCATTCTTTTTATTCTATTGGTCGATACGTTTAAGTACTACGTTACACAACGCAAAGTGCTTATTAATTCAGTAACTACTCACTTAGCAGTAGTTAAGTACCTACCAAAAAAGAAAACTGGATAAAAGTGAGTTGAACTCACCCACCCACCTAGTCACTTAAATACCGTACCTACAGGACAGTGTAAAAAGGACGTATAGTGCGCAGCAGGTTACATTAAATCTTCTGTCATTTTTTTAAATAGATTTTCTACTCTATCGCTTAGAAAGGTTTGCTAAAGACAAAAATTGATATTTCACCTATTGGATAGATTGATGTGCTGGCCAATTGGCAACTGTATCTGCCAACCTACTCACATTCTTCGTCATGAATTTGTTTCTCAACAATTCATATAAATATGAAAATCTTACGAACTAAGTACAATACATCTGCTACCAACTCACCTTTGGTATAGGATAAGGCGTAGGTCTCACGCAGGCTTGTCGAACCAGAATATCGGCCATTTTAGACATTACACAGATATCTTTTTCCCAGCAACCTTCCTGAATCTGGCCGGTCAGCATGTGGTAGAATCGTCCATAACCATTCTTAAGATCGTTTTCGAAGTGCCCTTCGTATCTATTCCCGTCAGCTGCGTTTAACCAAAATTATTAGTTCAAGGTTGAAAAAAACGTAGGTAGTTTTGTAGGTAGGTACCTACTTACTTAAAGTAACATGCAAACAGCGTGCTTGTACAAACACTAGTCAGAAGCTGTAAAGGCCGCTACATCAAGCTACACCAATCTCAAAATCGTTCAATAGATTTTTAATTTTATCACAAAGTCATAAGGTTGAAAATTCATGAGATAGCTTGATGTGCTATCGTTACTACCTACTTACCTAGTTCTTATCGTGGGAACTGCTGCTGATATAAACAAAAGAAGGTGACTTCAAACTGGTTGCGATTGTAACGTTTAAGTATACAGCCGATACCGACACATCTGTAGATCGCATGTGGTCGGACTTCCGGCGTTTATAAGACTTCTCGTGCGGTTGATATGATGTGGTTTCGTGAGATATTTCTTTGTACGTAGATATATTGGGTGTGAACATGCGAAGTCTGTTTTTGTATTAGCTAAATCATTTTTCAGACTTACTTAGGTACCTGTGTTTACACTTAGGTATATCGGCACGCCGCTAGGTATCGACCTTCGGGCGAACTTAAAGAAAACTAAATCTACCTAGGGTGATCAAAGTCCGCAGAAACACATTTTTTGTATCAATACCTATTCTTGCCCAAATTGTTGTAAGAGCCTGCTGTGACCATACGTTTAAGAGACCGGGCAGTAGAGGGTACAGTGAACCTTGTAAACTTCGGCCTCAAGGACTGTCACAGTTGGTGATGTATGTACCTACCACAGATATATTAAAGAAGGTACCTACAGTTAGGTACAAAATCACTTACCTTGCAAAAATAACCCAATCCCTTGTCTCTTATCTTTGTGATAGTAACCACCGTAGAAAGTTCCGTCTGCGTACCACATATTCCCGTATCCGTGCTTCATTCCTCGCTTGAAGAATCCCATGTACGTGGCTCCGTCCTCATAATACATCCAGCCGGAGCCGTCAGGGTAGCCGCGAGCCCAGTCGCCACGGTATACCAGTTTGAACGTACCATTTGGCTGCCGTTGGCTGAGCAGGCCGAAGCCATGTCTGTAGGATAAGATGTACATAGGTAGGTATTGTTGCACTTGCACTACGCCCAATATTCCATAGAAGGGTAAATTAAAAGTTGGTACCTTTTTTAGGGATACCTAGCTACAGTATTGGATGGCCCTTGCCTCAAACTAATAATAAAGGAATGTAAACCGGTAGCTTAGACCATGCTCCCACAACTAGTCGGCTCGTATTTCAATATTTTTTTATTTTTTTAAGTAATTTTTAAAAATGTACTTTATGGAGGACTTTCAATGTATATATAAAGGTATATTGATAATAAAGGAAGAGGTATCAATAATAATTTTCCTTTATTATTAAATTTAGGTACAGGTACCACTCACCGACAACCTTGGAACCAGTCGCCTTCATACAACTTTCCGCCTACAGTCAAGAATCTGCCTTTACCTGCGGAACGCAATGTGGTCAGGTCAGAACAGGTAAAACAAAACTCGTCAGGTCATAAAGACTTTGTTAGACACCCTTTTGCTTTTTACGGCCTCATGCCAGGGATCAAGCTATAGGTATATCTACCTAGGTACCACATCTTAGTCAGGTAGGCCTGGCCTGTACCTAGGCATATTCTGTGTGTCTGATTCGGTTATCAAGAGTAAAATTGATGGAGAATGAAAGTGGAAACACATAGGCTACTTGCTTAGGTGTTATTTTACCTAGACCATAATTACCCCCCCGTTCCAGAATTCATCTCGATGCGATTCCTTCAGCCGTTATTGTTGGCATGATTGAGTAATAAACCAACAAACATACAAACTGTCGCATTATAATATTAGTAAGATACCTTCCTTTAGATCGTTCTTCCAATCGCCGACATAACGATCACCTCTCGACGTAAAAATCGCGTGCCGAAGACCATTCTTTATAGATTTCTTGTGCGCCGCTATCAAAAGCGGTGTAAACTCTCTCGGTTTGTGGTAAAATGGCATTATTCAAAATACTTTATACAAATACTATATTATAGGTAAATACTTTCTAAAGTGACGATTTGTTGTGACAATCAAACTGTCAAGCTATGTTATATCAAACACGACAATTAATATTCTACGTGGCAAAGCCGCCACAATAAGATGCCTAACGATAAACTTTTTCAAGGACCTTGATTTTGTATTAGAAACTCGATAAAAAGATTATAGGTAGGGGTATAAAATCTCGGCGATTCTGATCTGGAGCAATTAGTCTGGTTCTAGGCTTTTCTCATCTGAAAAACCTAGATCTTTACCTTTTAAACAGGCAAAAACTACAGACTACAACCTGCCAAAATCCTCAAATAAAACACAGATTCAAACTTAACTAATCTTTTAATTACATAATTACAACGCTACATAGATAAATGCTTATTGTTTGCCGTGCGCTTTCTTCAAGCCCCTGCTTAGTTCGATCAGCTGCTGGTAGTATTCCCTGAAGCCCTGCAAGGCCAGTTCCTGCTGACTCTTCATGCTGGAAGTACCAGTAATGTACTTCTCTATACACTCAACACACTTGCTGTCCAGCTGAATGTCTTCTTCTGTAAGCCTCTCTGGTTTCGTCATTTGCACTGGAGTGGGTAAGATCTGTGAAAATATGTGTAAATAAAACTATCGTATTACGATACAGAATTGTCCTAGTGCAGGCATCTAACTATTTGAGGTCAATTGTACGTAATTTAGATATATTTTCGAATTTTGCGTTTTTGTTATTATGAATAAAGTTTTATTTTATTTTTTTTTATTTTATCGTATCATACCAAAACATGAACATTCAATGCAGGAAAAAGCCAATTGTTATTCTCTAAGGGTAAGCAGGAAAAAAGGGTGCCGTTAACTCCCACACACAAATGTAATACACCTTTAGTATAATTTTGTGTTATACTAAAGGTGTATTACATTTACCTGTACCCATTCTATTGAAACAGGGAATTTCTAAAATCTGAAAACATGTTTTATTATCGAAAACTGCTCGATCGTATTCGTGTTTAACTAGTTTCAGAAAATAACGACTTGGGACCAGAATAACTTGGGATTAGGAATTTGAGTATTGTTGGTTGGTGATTAATGGATTAAGGAAATTGGGGAAGGTCCCCCCCCCCCTGGATAATTAGGGATCCAGTAACCTCAGTAACACGACGAAACACAATGCAAGCGTTGTTTCACGTCGGTTTTCTGTGAAGCCGGCCCATTCGTGCCCGAAGCACACTTAACCTCGCTAAATAATTTACTTACTTGCTGAGCTAAGGTCCTTGCTACGTCTCCATTAGCGACATCGCCGTGTATGTCCTGCCTCAATGCAGTCAGAAGTACCGCCTCCCTGACCGCCCCACCCTGGATCAGCTCCAGCATCAAGTTGTCTATACTTTTGTGCCAAGTTAGGTAGAAGGTCATTGGACCGAAATGGCGAGTTGATCTAGAAAATAATAACATAAAAAAATTCAGTCATAGAATATTAATAATATCATTTACAAATGTGATTATAATTTGAGCATAATAATTTTAATTTTTTACGTCGTACTATAGAAATAAAATACGTAAGATTCTTACGCTGATATTCCTAATTTGTTTTATTTGTGAATGACAGGTCTTTTATACATATTTAAAACAATTAAACCTAATTCATAAAAGAAAGTACATATATAAACATAACATCACGCCTTTCTTCCCTGAAGGGGTAGGCAAAGGTGCACATTTTGGCACTTAATGCCACTGTACCATGTAACACCCACTTTTCACTATTTTATGTTATGAGTCCCATGTAATAGGGGGTGAGCCTATTGCCATATACCGAGCACAATTCCAGACTCCGTGTTACCACTGAGATTTTTTTAAAAACCCAGTAATATTTTTCCCGATCCGGTAATCAAATGAGACCCCTTGCTCGGCAGTCGCACTTGCGACCACTTGGCCAATAAGGCAGTCGAATTGATAACCTCCTCCTATTTGGGAAGTCATTTAAAAAGAAAGAAAGTACTTCATAAAATAAATGAAACCTCACCTCAGCAACTCATACTTGCTCTTGCTATCAACATGTTGGTAGGTAATGCTGGTGACTCGCTGGTAGGATGGCTCATCAGGCTCATATTGCACACAGGCACGGTCCAGCACAAACTCATACTTCTCTCTGTCCAGTAAGCTGTTCAGTTTTTCTATGTCCGCAAACATCGATGGCTCACGTAGCTTGCGACCATTCAGAGGGAAATATGCCTGAAATGAAATGTTACAATACAATTTTTACTCAGAAAATGATTAAGCATTTGACTGTCAGGTAAATCCTCCACTAACGTCGGTCACCGATGACCCCCATGGCATTTAACGTGTTAAACAAATGTAAACATACAGAGTGCCTTTAGAGGCCCAAAGTGGAATATGTCCATGTCTGCTTTATCATTATCACATTTATTTCATCAAAACAGATACTAGTATCGTAATTACCTGATTCAATCTTTTTCTGACATCGTGATCACAGCTACGAAGAGTGCCATCAGGGTCACTGTAATTTTAATAATAAACAATTGTGGGTTAAACAAAGTGCAATATTAAAGAAGACTTGTAGTCACCAACTGTATTGAATAAGACAGACAAATAGCCTGTGGTAATTAAGGCTCAAACCTTCTCCGCATAAGAAAATCCTTTGCCAAAATCCACTTGATAATATAGCTAAATGGGATTGAAGTTTTAGTATTTTGTAAATTTTACAGGATTCTGCTAGCTGTCTCATTGTGGTTGGTCACAGTTACATGATATGACTAGGTTCTCTAACACTCTTTTATTTTTATATGTGTATAATTCACGTGCCATAGATTTAGTAGTAAGATGCTTACCGTTCAATAATAATTCTGTGTTCATTAGCAACACCAAAAGTAATGTCGGTAAATATATACTTTGATGTATCATATCCTATCAGAGCTGGGTCATTGGATAACACATCTTCAATGTGTTGCTGGATCTGAAAGATATAAAAAATAATAAATTAAAGCATGAAGTAGGTATTAACTTTATGTAGACGGTTGTCATCTGTCCGGGTTTTTTAGGATCTTGTTTGGCCAAATTTTTAAGTGTCTTGTCAGACTTTTGTAACGGTTTTTTGTAAGATGTATTCTACCCATAACCATTTCGGATGAAGATCTCAGTCCAATGTCCAGGGAAAGGTAGATAGGAGGCATACCTAGATACCTCACCACTGTGCACCAGGCACTGTCTAAATCTTGGTTTACTTTTTAAGTTCAGGACCTAGGAAAAGTTGGTACTATTGAACACAAATAAACTAGACATGCTTAAATATGGTAAGAATGCAAATCAAAATAAGGGATATCATAAAAATCAGTCAAAAAATTAAGCTAAAATGTAATATTAAAAATGGTTCTTCCTACACACGCCGCAGAGAGAACAATTTATTTAGTTTACAGGTACCTACACCAGCCATTTTGACAAATAGGTATGTTAGACTATAAAACAACAACGTCTGAACTTTCTGGCTATCAGCAATGCTAAGTCAGGTTTAAGTCCAAATTTCTAGATAGCAATCTTAATCATGTCCAGCTCTACTTTCCCTATTTAAGGAATAAAATGTGTGAAGTTATGAAAGGATCGGTTATAATTCTGATAATAAATCAAGTAAGAATCTAATAAGTACAACTAGTTACAAACGCAACATAAAATAATTTTACCTTAACAACTGGTGGCATTTGAAGTAATCTATCAGCTTTTTCATTCGCTTTAGCGATTTCCTGCTCTAGCTCTTCGTTGGTTAAAAACTTGTACGATGGTGTCTTCAGGACACTCAAACCATGATTTGTTCTTTTACGAAATACTTTGTTGAAGTCCGGCCGAGTCAATCGTTTCAACAATATTTGAACGTTGGAAGAAAAGAACTTCGGTGCAGGGTCTTGGTCTCCATCTAAATCAATAGGTTTATGTGATGATTGAGTATTTTATATCATTATTTAGAAAACCTTAATTGGTTACGTGAATGGACTTACCGTATAAGGATGGGACTAAGCTCAACTTGCGACACGATATAACAAGTATTTGGGCATCTGTAACTATGTTCCTCGGATTGTTTCGCGCTAGTCTACGAAAAATAAGCGACATTTTAAGAATTTGTGTTGTTCTGAATTCTAACCTAAAATGTTTTTGGTTTAGTAGTTTTTTTATATTTTGACAGCTATTTCAAATTTGAAACGAAGTCTTTTGAGAGTAAATACAAATCTTAAATTCTCGTATTACTCACTAAAACCAATTTACCGGTTTTTAATACTTCCTTCAAGGTTACCAGATTTAATTTTCATTGATCGATTATTTTTTAAAACCTGCAACATTCGTTTCGTCAAAGTCAAAATAATATTTTGACTTTTGATCAGAAGTCAAAATATTACTGTATCCGTGTTGCTGTGTTGTAATATCTAAATTTCCGAGAAGAAACGTTATTAACTCGTACATATAAAAACAGAACAACGTCTTGATGACTTGTTCTCATCGTCATGGCCAAAAGGAAAGCGGCTGTGAATGATATCATTTATGAATTGGACAATGAGGACATCGTTCTCAGTAGTGATGATGAGGTTAAAACACCCAAAATAAATCGTTTGGATACGATAAACAGTACAATCACTATCTTAGATGACAAAGAAGTTAAAATAGACAATAGTTTAGATGTAAATAATATCGATAAATCACTCGAAGACGGTAAAATCGCAGCGGAAGCGACAGTGCACAATGGAGGGAAAATTACGACTGACTTATCAATTAACGATACTCCAAAGGATATTGATTCCGTATGCACTCCAAAAGATACTAGTTCTAAGGGTGAAGACGAAGTGGATAGTGTAAAAAAAATAAATAGTGAGGGTTCTAAAACCACAATATTTAACGAGGATATAGTTATAGACTCGCCGGGTAACAGCGACTTAGGCGTCGAAGGCTGCGAAAATCGGACTCCCTTAGTTACAGTACGATTTAAGGATAGTAAGATGGCGGGTATATACAAGGATAAGGTGAAAGCATTTATGATAAAACTTATAAAAATTCATGAAGGGGTCACTGAAGGAATGAACACTGAAACTGACATTGAACTAGATATCTGGCCTGAGGACTTGAATGATAGTGAAGCACTCAACAATACTTCTGAGATCTCAGAAGAAAGTAGCCTATTCTTCATAGACACTGACCCCTGTGTGGACCGGCCAAATATAGTTCCTAGATACAGACAGGTAAGGTCAAAATTCATACATTTAGTAATATGTGTGTTCATTCTATTGTCCTAAATTCTTATATCAGACATTCGGCTGATGATAGGAATTTCCCTATCATTAGCAGTATCTTATAAAGTACAAAGTAAATATTGACAGTACAGTAATACTAATTTACACTTGCTATAATCAGAACAAGAATTGCATAATGAATAAAGTTGAAACATCATCACATCAACCACAATAAATAAAAACTACAAAAAATAAACTAAATTATAATTTAATCAACATATATTTTATAAATTACTTTGTGAGGGTATAATGAATATTTTATATTTTACACAAAAAACAAGTAAATGATTTTGACTGGAAACTAATATGAATTATATAGGACTTCTAATTGGATTTCAGGCTACAACACTCATATCAAATACTCCTGAGAAGGAAGCTTCACCTCCGCCATTGAGAAGAGGACCAACATGCTTCAATTGTGATGGTGGCCATCAGCTCAGAGACTGCACTCTACCCAGAGACCATGCTAGAATAGCAGAGAAGAGGAAGGCTATGAATTCATCTAGAGTTGGGTAGGTTTCCATTAACATAATACCTTTTAAAATGTCCTTTGTTATGTGAGTAGGAACAGGTGCATATTTTTGATATAACATTCTTTGCCAATGCTTAAACTTGGTATATGGAGTTATGGTTCGGCCTACATATGTCTACTGGACTAGAGTGATACCACAGCCTCACAGAAAAGCGATGTAAACAGCTCTTATGTCATGTTTGCTGTGTGACTGGTTACTTGAGACCCAATGAGATAATTATCTAATTGTACACTTTTTAACTTTTTTTATGTAGTTCATTTCATCCGTTAACAAAATGCAAATAATTCTTAAAATTCTATGCATCTATTACAGACGATACCACGTAGAAGATGAACAGAAATATGGACATCTAATACCTGGTAGAATATCAGGACAATTGCGTCATGCTCTGGGGCTGAAGAGAAACGAATTACCGCTGCATATTTACCGAATGAGGTTACTGGGGTACCCGCCTGGCTGGTTAGAAGAAGCCCGGATATCACATTCTGGTATCTCCATGTTTGATTCAATGGTAAATATTTTGAATAGAGTACTGATATTTATGAATAAAATATTACTGGGGGAATAGGATTCACATTTGTAACCAGAGGCAAATTAAACCTAGACAGCGTCCTAGGCGAGAACCTCAAAGGCGCACCTAATTTATATTGGCACCGCCACTACTCTTTGAGCACACGCGTTTCGTGGCGTCGGGGTGCGATGCTCCTCTGTAATTTGGCGCCCTTTATATAATAGGGATGATGACAGGGTATGACAATTAAAAATATAATTAGTCCATCAGTTAGATAATGAAAATTATTAGACACGTATTTTTTTATTTTGTCATATAAGAAAACAATACGTGTACACAAAAGTGACGTCATGCAATATTTTAAACCAATATGTCGAAAGTATTCGTTACCGTAAGAAAATAAAAAATACGTTTTAAAAAAAATTACCAGACGGACATTAAAATTAAAATTATCATATTCTTGTTACATTCATAAACTCGCTCCTTTATCTTAATTTGTAGACAAAATACATCTCCTTCTTTCGTTACTTCCAGGGTAATGCTATACAGGACCCAGAAGAGGAAGAGGGTGAGGTGGCTGAACCTGGCAGCAAGGACAAGTTTGACATCAAGAAGATATTGGACTTCCCTGGGTTTAATGTACCCGCCAGCTCACGGTACATTGAGGTAAGTAGATGTTTATAAAGGGACAAGTAAACAAGATGTGCGTGTGTTTGATACATCATAATTATTAATACATACATACTTATTAATACTTTTTTATGTATTTGACATTGTACGAAAGCAGACTTAATGTTACTGTCCCAGGTGTTATGTATTCTCTCTGGTTGAGTTTTAGGTAATACACACTATACGCATCGACGTCTTAGGATAAGATGTCAATGATTACATCTACTGTAAACTGATATTTACTCTTTAAATAAAAACGTTGCCCCACACTAGAATTATCTCACGTGTCGTGGGTACGTTTACCCGAAACAACAATTTGTCGAGCACTCAAAGAGTTGCTCCGTGCGGGAATCGGACCCGTTACACGTTGCGTGGTAGCCGGTTGCCCAGCCACTGCGCCAACCGTGCAGTAGTATAGCTTTTTAATCAAATATTCATAGGAAAGTATTAATCAACTCTTAATATAAATACTAAAGTTAAAAATTACACAAACATATCAAATCAAAAATTATGTGTCTAATTTCAGGAGTCTCAACAATTCGGCTTACCACCGATGTCGGAGCAGGACAGCAAGATGGCGATGCTTCAGTACCTGGCCCCGAACGCTATGAAAGCTTACAAGCGCAAAAAACTAACGTTCTTCCCATCAGCATCCACTAACACCACGCTCGAGGGGCAGGCAGAGATGGAACTTGATAGTGGAGATGGTGAGTTAAATGAAGATTCTGTTAAACACTTTACTTGTTATAATGATAGCAATTGTTCTGTCTTAACAGAGTGTCTTGTTTTATTGACAAAGTTTTCAGAAGTGTGGCTTATCAAGATCATTAACAGATTCAATAATTTATCGACCACAAATTAATAATATAATTTTATAGACGCTATGAGTTGGGGCCTATACATAATACTAGTAATTTAAGCCATAAGTATATTTATTGCAACACACTCCATCCACACTACATACCACTAACAAAATGTCTTACAATTACAGAAGTTACACAATTTCCCTCCAACCCTCCATTACCGGATGAAGCGCCGCCCCCTCCTCCCCCTCCTCCAACAACGCCACCACCGCCGCCGCCGCCGCCAGACTCACCACCACTACTACCACCACCACCACCTCCCGAAGACAAAACTGAGAGTTCAGAGGATGATCTCCAAGTGGTCGAGGTCCTCAAAGTCGGAGACATACCAGTGCCAGAGGTTGATGTCAGCAGTGAGAAGGAGGATGTGAGTTATGTCATCAGATTCAGATATTGCTTAGTTCTTTGAAAGTACTAGATTGATTAAAACATGTGTAAGAAAAATATGTTCCGTGTAAAATTATGTCGCCTACTGCCGATTGTTTGTATACAGTTATGAATGTCTTCCAATACCGATTCTAATAAAAATCATGTTACTTTTGCTATGTATGTTTTAACCAAAAGAGCAAACTAACTTCCTTCTTACAGACCAACACCCAGAGCAGTGGACGCAGCAGCCCCACATTAGACGATTTAGAAGAAAAGAAACGACTCCTTTTAAGTGCTTTAGAAAGTGATTCAACTCTAAACACATCTGTTATTACTATACTGGACACGACAGACGAGAATATGCTGGATAAAACAATAGACGAAACTGTAAATATGGACACAGGTATTGGCGAAGAAAAACAGAATAATCATGACGATGCTAAAGAAGCAAGTGTAGAGAATGGTGTCAGCAGTAAAAAGAACACTCAACCTGCCAGCAATAACAAGGAAACTCCACAAGAACCTTCAAGTGACAAAATAACAGAAGAAAATAGACTTGAAGCAATATCAGAGCCTTCAACATCAACTGTCACAGAAAGCAATGACGAGGAGGTGAACAAAAAAGACAGTACTTCAGAAGTTCCCTCGACACCAGAATCGAAACCTGGTCAGGTAAAAGAAACGCAATATGGTACACCAGTCATGAACATAGCTTCCTCGTACCTCAAGCTACCAACAGACGAAAAGTTCGCAAAAGACATTTGTGACGTCATCAACTTTGAAAATTTACCCAACTCGACAGGAAAGTACAAGAAAATAAGTGCATTACTTAGAAAAGTTAAGAATGAAGTGGATAGGATACAGGACTCATGATGCACAGAGGCCCCAGCTGGGGCAGAAACTGTTGACGTTTTATAATGCAAAGTATGTACGGAATTGTTAGTGTAATTGTAAATTGAGCCGACGTATTTTTATACTACTCAATAGATTAGGACAATTCCATTTTTGGATACCGAGCAATATTTTAGAAAGTATGTGTCCTGTTATGTGTTACATTTTAATAATAATTATGTTTATTTCAGTTACCTAGACAGTGGTGCGTTTTAGCATAATATATGTATAGCAGTGTTAACATATACAAGTGTTAATAATATTGTATTACATATATACAACTGTTTTCATGTTTTAAAATAATTTGCATTTTACAATGTTCATTTTCCATTGCATTACACAGTTTTTTAATATTGTCGTGTTTCCATATCTCGTGATTGCCAATCGTTTGTTTTTATGAGGGAATAATGTAACGAAAAACAGTTTACTTTCTAGAAAAGGATTTACGGCTCGTGGGGTTAAGTTAACGAGGAATAGCGCTGTCCCTGTCTTGCTTAGAATTCAGCGCTCGTGCAGACGGCGATAAGAAGTCGGCTGTTTATATAATTATGTAATACGAAACCGCGCAATTATGACCTTTAGTTACAATGCGATTCAGTATTAATTTTCCACTTTCTAATCTTATTTATGTATTGATTTGATACTAGGTACCTAATTAAACATTTTAATTAACCCGTGGTATACTGGAATGAAGATCTACGCGAGACAATTTATCTTCTATTGTGCCTCATATGGCACTCAAGAGATTTATGATTTTAGTAATTCCTAAAATGCGACACAAAATCTATAATGCATCATAAATTCCATAGTTCAGATTCGAAAACCATAAAGGAGGCTACTGCAGGAAATAAAACAATTGATATTTTACAATTATCTTTATTATCTGGATAGATATAATCTCGATCGGTTTTGTCATAATAAAAAAATACATAACGTGTACATAATAACTCACAAAATGAAAAATGGTTGTATATATAACCCAACCCAAGTTAAACTAAACCTAGTGGAATAATAATGCAAGTTGGACCAGAAAAATAAAAAATAACTAAACATTTTTTCGGCAAAACTAATTTCATAATAATATAATGTACAATTAGTACTTATAATATTTATATTTTATTTTTCTCATCTCACTTTTTAAGTGTAATTACTAATCAAGCAAAAATTAAATAAAGTATAATTGCAAATTTGCATCTGCAGTACCTACTGGCAAGGCAAACTATGTAGAGACTTGCTTATCGCGATTAGAGAGAAATTTTAATCATCTCATTTATTTGAGCTGTTCACAATCTCGTAAAATGAACCCTTTTGACATAAATTTTCCATGTTGCGCGGACCTGCGTGACATTCTCAAAACAACAACGTTATTATATAACTGGCAGTACAATAGCAACGTACTGCACTATGAATAACTGCAATTGCAAAACGACATTTGATTACAAATTCAAGCTAAATGTCTTTGCTTTCAATTGATTCCGTACTTCGTCGCGTTACGTCAGTAAAAACGTGACTAAATTCACCATCGCTTCATTGTAATACTTCAAAAATCAGATCTTGATTGCAGATTCAGGTAAGTATGATAATATTATTGCACTTGCGTAATGTGTAATTATTTTTATGTAGTGCAATAAACATGTGCATTATGTGCAAAATATTTATAAATATATTTATTTTATATTATTATCAAACTGAATGAACAATGAAACATCTGTTATAATACTCATATATTATTGGTCTAAATAAATAGATGATACAATATAGCACCAGATGATAAATAGCGGGAAAAAAGAAACAGTAAAAGGAGACCGAACCATTATAACCATCGTACTTCAAAGATCTTATTGTGACGCCTATTCTAGGTTAAATTTCAAAGGCAAGGCAGCAACAGCGAAATGAATCGTTATACATTTTCGAAACTTCCAATCGTTTATATTATAAACTTATCAGTACATAATACCTATACAAGATCTTACTCATCTACACATTAGTTGTGATGACGTTCTTGTGTCCACAACTTGGTGCGGTACAATTTACTATATAATACAATTACTGGAATTCATTGTTAGCGTGATCCCTTTATAAACCTCTTCAGTTTATATTCTTGGAGGCGTTGGAGGTGCTCCGTCATGATCCTGAGGACAAATACATGGAGATAAGTATAGGCACTCTCCTAAGCAATAATTCGGTTACCACTATACAGATAGGTTTAAGTCTAAACGTAAAAACTTGCGTGTAAACAAGCATATATATTTATAAACACGAGTTTATTTTAGTATTGAATGGAAAAAAGTAAAACGTGTTCAAAAAATCACGATTGTAACTCTATAATCAAGTTTTACAAAGTAATTACCATCTTAAAAGGTCAGAGACCAGAAGTTGCAGATATATTTAAACTTTGTGTTTAATTAAGAACGGGTAAATGATTTCTAATTAATAATTAATGTTGTCTACAGCTAATCTATTACTGGCTGCCGTACGATGAAGATTGGAGTACAAAGAAAAGTTTCTCTTTTTACGTATTGGCGACAAATTGTGAACTACCAAAGCTAGGAAATATGGATATACTCGGGCTGGGTACGAATATAAATGAACGTATAGCTAAAATAACACTAAATTTTATATAAATATTATTTCTTATACTTCCATTCCAAACAGTAATATCAACTTATCGTCTGGCTTATCGTCTGTATAATATCCTAGTGATATATAATCATAATATTATATTATTGCGGTTTTTTAAGGTATTCAGGGTCAAAAATTATGTTTATCAAATATGAGTGACTTGTAACTTTAGTTCTACAGTCTGAAAGGCTAATAGGTCAATGACAACTATCAAGTGCATAATCTTCACAAGGAGGTAAGTATCCAGAAGAGTCTCGGTTTACAGTCTTAAGTTTGTGGTCACGATGCGCAAAAAATGGCCAGTTCATAACAGGATTATTTTTTACTGTGTCTATTACATAATGACTGCAAATAGAACTAGATTTTACTGGTTTCCAAAGAGCGTTTTTTTTTGTATAGTACAGCATAACATTTCTTATATTGGTTATTGTTGAATATAAGGTATCTTGCGGTCATGCATGTTTCCTTTTTTGCTTCCAACTGGTTTTGGTGAACTCAAGTTTAGTCTGACGTAAAGTATTCGCTGTTTCATCCGCGGGATTATTGTACAGCCTTTATAGTAGTTTTTGTTTCTTGTATTTTGTTGTACAGTGAATTAGTTGATCTCTATTTTATGCCTGTTACTATATGTTTCAATGATATAGTAGATTCATTCGATTATATTTCCTAAGTGAAAAAGAGTATCAAGGATATTTTCAACTCCCAAGTTGCCCTGTGACCTACGTACTTCGATATTTATGTAACGCGTGCTTTAACTGTGTCAGGATCATTGGCAGCGGATGAAATGGCAGTGCATTCTGTACAATAATCCAAGGTCATTCGATTACGACCAAGTTTATTAAAGTAACTTGTATTTATTAATCTCGCTACAGTCTATCGGAAATCGATTTATTTCTGGTATTTTCCAATATTTTCATAATTTCGCAGTTGATTAAAATATTTTAGTTAATACAATGACATAACGTACCCAGTAGGTGCAGTATTCTTGTCAATAACACTGCAATATGACTTTAGTACAATGCCCACAATGGACGCCAACGTTACATTCAAGGTCCTCTGAGGATCACGCTTGGAGTTAACATAGCTACAGATGCGGTTTATTTATATTTTTCGACTCGTCACATCATGAGATAATCACAGTAGGCAACCATTTCAATTACAAAAGTCTTTTATATTGTATGGTAGTCAAAGTCCAGTTTATTCGGTCAAGTTGGCATATAAAATAAAAACTTAACGAATTCTTACCTGAGAATTGCGCGAAGGCTTTGCAGAATCTTGTATCTGGTTGCGGCGCGGGCGCATAGCGTACATGGCAAGTGCGAGAGCCATCATGAGGAACATCACCATGAAACTGTTTGCAGACGACTGCGGCGGTGATGGTAGACTCGGGAACTCGTCCAGGCATTCATTTTCTGTGCAGTATGACTGACCTTGACGGAGCTGGGAAATAAAGAAAATAGGAATTTAAAAAATATGGTCGCAGAAATTGAACACATGTAATAAGTTCATTGTATACCCAATTGAAAGAGTTTGTATGTAATATACCTAGCTATTCTTGGGGAGTCGAGACCATGTACCTACGCTACCCACTCGTGTTTTTTGTAACTTAACTCGCATATTATTAGACATAATTATGAATAGAGATTCCGAAGGCTAAATAGACCAGTCAACAATCTACATTTCAGTTTTAAAACGAATTCCAAGGTCATCTATTACCTATTCTTACATAACAACAATAGTCGATACGTCAGAAAACACAATCTCAGTAATTAAAATGTACGTACGTATACCATTCGTCATATGTACACCTAATTATTTTAGAATCATTCGACGGTCAATGTAGGCATTCATTTCCTTCGTTTGTTTGTAAATAAATGTTTATATTTGTGGGTTAAAATGGAATATTTATATTGTAATAAGTCTGTTGATAGTTGATATAGTTCGTAGTAGTTTTTCGACTTGGTATGGTTGGAATTGTCGTTTAGTAGCATACGTGTTTTTTTCTCTTATCTCTTGGCAGTATTGGGTAGAAGTTTTCTAGGTTTATTTCAAAAATGTAGGTTTATAGTGCAACAATTTAAATATTTCCTAATGCGACAAGATAAGTTCTTAATTAAAAATTACGTAGGTACATTAATTATAAAAATAAGAATGTTCTATGGAAAAATTTATGTCTCTTAAATGTTCAACATAAAATTCCGAGTTAAACTGTCAAATACCAAGCGGTCACCGGTGACCGCGACCTATTGTTCTTTAATTGTGTCTATAAAACCGGTACTCGACGAGTTAAGATATAAAATACGGAAGAAATTAATTAAGCATAGTATAGTACGCATAGCTTCACTGAATATTTATAAACATACGTATTCTATTATCACGAAACACGGCTATTATATTATCATAATTCATGACCTTATTTTATTTTTAATCTACTTTGTAACAAGCGTGCATTAATTTAGGCCATAATGTAAATAATAATTATCTATGCCCTAGACTTGAATGACGTTAAAAAATTGCGTTTGACACCTCTTCGGTAATTACCGTAATAGTCGAATCATAAGGAGCCTTCTACTGGAGAAAAAAAAACTAAAAATCCTCAATCTATGATATGAACGCAGGAGACCTTTTTGAAACAGAAAAATTCGCATTCGTTGGCCGAGTGGTCGCAAGTGCGACTGCCTGGCAAGGGACACCAAGGGTTCGATGTCCGGGACAAGCGAAGTATTACTGGGTTATTCAAAAAAAAAAAACAACATTGTATGGAGTCTGGAAATGTGCCCGGTATGTGGCAATAGGCTTACCCCCTATTACATGGAAATCATACATAACATAAGTAGTGAAAAGTGGGTGTTACATTGTACAGTGGCAGTAAGTGCCGTAATGTGCACCTCTGCCTAACCTTTAGGGGATAAAAGACGGGATGTTATAAAAAAACTCAAAAGGTCCAATTTCAGGGGAAGCTCGTGTAGATCGTTTTCAGAGCTGGCTTCTGTCTTAAAATTAAGCTTATGCCGCTTTCGGTTGTGACCCAACGAATCTTTTGTTCATCACCAACAGAATAGAACAACAGGTGCGTATGCGCAACGCATTTATTTACGGGTGTTAGCGAACTAAAATTACACATTAATTGAATCTGACAACTACACGTGCTAGGGAAATGACAGGATATTTATTTGATTTTATTATGTCCGTTTTTAGATACATTAACTATTAACAAAATACTCAAAATGAAGTATACACCTCGTTGTCTAATTTATTGTTATCTTTTTGGCGGCGGTACAATACAATACGTACATTCTGTCTAAAACACGTCAGACAAAAGCATGAAAATTACTTAAAAAATAGTTTTAGCTTTCTTAATACACAATTGAAATGAAAACCGATAACACATTAGCGAGGGTACTTAACAGCGAGAAGTACCCACTTGTAGGTTGCATGCGTGCTAGAACTAGAACATATCGCTAAACAATCTTATCTGTCACGTAATCACGTTATCACGGCACTGCTAGATATATCGCTCTCAATAATGAAGCACCCAACTCATTAGCATCGCTTTAGTTTGATTAAATCGATTGTAGTTTCTCCATAACATAACATGACGCCTTTTATCCCCAAAGAGATAGACACACAACGGCACTTAATGCCACTGTACAATGTAACACCCACTTTTCACTATTTATGTTATGAGTCCCATGTAATAGAGGGTGAGCCTATTGACATATCATCATTATCATCATTAACAGCTGGAAGACGTCCACTGCTGGACAAAGGCCTCCCCCTTAGTCCTCCTCGTTGAAGTCCTATTGACATATACCGGACACAATTCCAGACTCCGTGCTACCACTGAGAATTTTTGTTTTAAAAACCCTAGGTTATACTTCGCCCGACCCGGGAATCGCAGACAGAAAATTAATAAATTAGTCGAAGTAAATGAATCATAGCTTCACCAAAAATATCTACAATGTAGGTGAGACAATAGCATTGTTTGAAAACTTGGAAGATCAAACACGTGCTTTTGATTCACGTGTCACCGTATCTGCCGTGTTGCTTGTAAATATTGTTCACCGGACAGTTATGGGTATGACGTCTGGCTCGGAATAGGTATAATTATACCTATGTCCTCCCACTTCTTTACATCTAACGTTTTAGAGGTGGATCAATGAATCTTCTAGAAATCAGCTAGAAATACTTCATACACGAACGTTCTGGCCTTCGTTCGTGCTGGGGAGTGGGCTATAGGATTGGAAGCCGAACGAATAGTATAATTTTTGATTTGAATAAGCAGATCTCTCAAGTAGCTGCCAGATATTTTTCTGTATGTTTGAGGAAGGTCATAGGCTATCTGACATAGTGCTGTAGCACTTAACTTTGCAGTTTTTACGCATATTTACAAAGTTATTTGAATAGGGATGATGACAGGGTATGAAAATTAAAAATCTAATTAGTCCGTCAGTTACGCAATGAAAAATATTAGACACGTATTCTTTTATTTTGTTGTATAATAAAAAGATACTTATCTAACGAATCAAAGTTTAGGAGTGGGGGCTAAAACGTCATTTCTACGTATAAAATGTAGGTACATAGAAGTGTACATACGTCGAAAGTATTAGTTTCCGTAAAAAATTAAAAAAATACGTGTGTAATATTTTAAAATAATGTACCAGACGGACATTAAAATAAATATTTGTCATTTACCCTATGAAGCAGCTACTACTTTATAAAATAATGGTAGTCTGTAATAAACTGCAGAAGACTAGCCATACCATACCATCAGATATATTAAATAAAACTTTTTCATTTCAACGGCGAAAAAATATGACGCAGTAGATGTAGGCGGCAATAAAAATATCGCATTCAATTATACCTACGAATTAATTGCCGTATCAGTCGCGATAAGGGAGCCAGTTAGGCATAATTGCGAATATTAACGGGGTAACAGCTCTGTAACTAAACAAAGTTATAAAGTCCGAGATATTTGAAAGGAATAAAGAATCCTACAATTAATTATAATTTTTTTCCAACTACTAAAATAGTTAGGCAAATATTTATAAAAAAGGCCAAATAGGTATCAATGGTATAGGTATAAATAGGTATAATGGTCATAGGTAGGGAGTGTCAGACTCTTACTGACTTAAAACCACCCCGTTTCTACTCCTGCACTTCGAGCCGGAGCCCCGGCCCCGTTAAGCCCTCCGCGGCTCCGTATAGGCATCAGCTCTATTGGGCCCCATTTGTGGTGGTCTGATGGCTCCTTGAGGCGCGCGCGGAACGCGACGCTCTTACGCTCGGGTCTGGTTCTGGTCGGGCAGCGAGTCACCCGTGCTCGCCGTCCGCAGGCCCGTGCTTACGATCGGTTACCGGTGTAGGCAGGAATACCTACCATACTGCTTTTTAAGCTCTTGAACTAATAGCATAAAATCATTGATGTGCAACGAGCCAATAAGTCTACATCAACCAAGAAGGATGTTTGCAACATACTTCTGTTGTTTTCAAAACAGATCGAAACTTTTTACTCATGTTAAGACATTAGTGGAATTGGTAGTTTGTTTATCAATATAATATTTGTGTGTGAATCCAAAAGTCTTGAGGATATGTCAGAGTTGAACAACTTAGTCAAACTTGACAAAAGGACTTTATCACTGAAACTGCCTCTCAAGCATGGTGACAATGGCAAGCTCTAAAATTTATACACCAGGCTCAACCTTTGGAGCTCAATTTCGAAAACTCCATTAGCATGTGACATGGACAGTTAAGCTGTTAACAAGGAAGGAAAATATAGCAAATGTTTTATATTTCCTCTATCATTGTGTCAGTCAATGTCAATCATATAATGTATTCTAGGTACACACAATATGTTTCAATGTTTCAATCTGACAAATTATAAGTAGTACACATAGTTTCAGTAACATAAATCAAGTCATCATCGGTCAAATTAAACTAAATAAAAGCCTGTCATCCAACAGGTTGGGGCCATTTTTTTTTAAGGGGGGATAATCAACGATTGACTGCTCCCGCCTGGGTGAGGCGGGAGGGAGTGTCAGACTCTTACTGACTAAAAACCACCCCGTTCCTACCCCCTAGGTTCTCCGCGACTTCGTATCGGAAGTTGGGGCCATAATGATATCATTAGAGTGTTTGAAAGTGAACATTATTATGTTAATACCAATATAATTTATTTTGTTTAACACATTACCTAATGAGTTTCATTAGTATGAACATCAAACTGATAATATTGTATCAACACAATTTCCTAGAAATTGCCAATGCAGAAAAATACTGATCACTAAGCACTTTGAGCCTTTGACTGCCGACAGAAAACTGATGGAGGCAAATCCTCTGCTAATGTTGGTCACCGTTGACCTATGTGGTGGTCAACAAGTTAATTTTCCCTAAATATACAGAGGTGTAATGATGTATTGATTGCATACATAGTGTAATGATGTTGTTGTATAATATTATAGGTGTAGAAGTTTTCTCTTAGGTTTTTTTATTGTTATTGTTTTGGTTATGATAAATAAAATTGAGGTAATATCAGTCACATTATAGAAAGATTACAGATAGACTGTATAAGGTAAAGAATCATAAAAGAGATAGGAATTTGTGATACAGGATGACATACGAAAGAGAAGAATGGAAAAAGAAGACATTGTGCTTACTCCAAAAGCTTGTGGTAAGGGCAGGAACAATTTGAATAGTTTCATATATAGTCCGAAATATTCAAGAGGTTAAACGGCATTTGGTTAAAAACTGAATAAAATATTATTGACCCACATGATAATAACAATACAAATTAATACTTATATTAATAAATTGTAATAGTTAATTGATAGTGTAACTAGTTAAACTTGTGGTTGCTCATGCAATTACAATGTAATTTATTGTCAACTAGTTTATATCTACATATTAATGAAGAGCCTTATCAATTTTATAAAACATTACAAAGTTTAGCATTATGACCCTTAAAGTAATTGAGTTATTTTATGCTTGTTAGTCATGATAATATTTACAGACTGAGAATAATTATCAAATGATAGGGTGAATTAAATATCAAAAGTAAATGATATTTTTTTTTATAATAACTTTTTAAAACCCTAGAAAAGTAGGTCAAATATGTGGGTGAATGTTTACTAACACTGTTACCAAAATATTGATTAAATAAAAAGGTGTTGATAAACAAAAAAGTGGCACAATAAGGCAGTGTTATGAGCAAAATGTAGACGTGGATGTTACGCGATCCACTGTTCCACCCACTTAAATAATTATTGCCTATAGCTGACCATTGTAGTTACAAGGACGTACTTACCAGAGAGATAAGCCGACGCATCGCCAGCTCATGATTCCACAGGCACTCGCAAGGATCCATCTCGTCAGCCATATCTAAGCAAAAAATACCACATGAATATCTGCTCAGTCTACTTGACACAACTTTCTTATTTCTTCATCGCCAAATGTTTCAACAATCAGCTGACATACAAACAATATGCCCCAAGGTGACGACGTCAACAATATCACTTTTCCTCCTAATCTACGTAACCAGCAACCATTAATTTGTAAGTGTGTGTTATTATTCTACATCTTTGTTTTTATTTACAAAATACAAAAAACACTGGGCTAGCAATAGTTGTCATGTATCAAGAGAAAGTTAATTCTTGGGCGTACCTGCAGCACTTATAAACAGAGGTATTGAAACACAAATAAGTTAAGTCGTTATTATTACAGCGAGTGCAACTGCGTTTGGATAATAAATGGTTGTAAAATCTTGAAAGGAACACAAGACTACACTCGCGAAGACATTTTTCCGACGAATGCTTGTAGCTTTACGATTGGCCTTCAACACAAAATGATTTGATTGTATTAACCAATCAACGGCAAGAGTTGACAGCTTCAAAACAGATATGTTTGCCATATAGAATATTTTTGTGGTAGTGGAAATATTATTTCTACCAATCTACCATATTTTTGTTTTCATAGATATAAGCATGAAATTAAATATTAAATACACAAAATTTATGTAACAGAAATAAAAAAAAAACAATACAGTAAAATTTTTTTCAAAAAAAATTATATAATTCGTTAACTAGATGGCGATCCTGAAGATAGAACGCAGTAAATATTGTAATCAATATTATTATTTTAAAAACCTCATCTTAGGTATGGTATATTCATACATAGAATTACCTATGGAGTTCTTTGCCGATAGGTTATCATTTTTTGGTGGCAAATGAATCGACGGATCACCTGATGTAACGCAATCGGCGCCCCATCTATGGACACCCAGAGGAATCCCCCCCCCCTCTCTCTCTAGCTCTGTGAGAGCAGTGTATTTTAGGGGTTACAAATTTGAGGATTAGAGATGGGAGAAGAGGATTGGGCCTACGGTAAATTAACTTACACAATGAAACACGAGACAAGCTTTTTTTCACGCTGGTATTCTGACAGGCCGTGGTATGACTCCGGTCAAGCCGGCTTATTCCCCTGATCAAATTGTCCAAACAGACGTAAGAGTAACACACACGAGGTTTTTCTCCTATGTCATGAGTGCGTTTATAAATACCTACTTATAACAAAATCATTAATTCACTTAACAGCCTACAGTGGCTGGCCAGTTGACCCAGCCACTGTACTGCGCCAACCGTACAAAAATGTCAGTCAACCATTCGTTAAAAGATGTAAATATTTTTGTGTAGAATAAAGAAAAAAAAGGAAAATCTTTGCATCAGCCAGTGTCTGTTATTAGGTACGAAGCTTCGGCTGAATCGAATTTTTTTTTTTATTCAAAATCATAAATAACAATTGTTCCTTATTTAAAATGTTGGCGTCATATATAATTATAACCGTGTTAATGAAAAGATTGAACAACGTTAACTTGTTAATTAATTATCTACTTTTTGTTATTTAATTATTTTGTAAGGACAGTAATATCTTAAAGTTTGTACCTATATCAAAGCAATTCTAGTAAATATTTTAAGGTTTTTATGAGTATCGTTAACATACAAGGGCTACCAGTGCGGTGTTGACGATTTTGTTATGAAAACTGCCACGAAAAATTTCGCTTCATTACGATGAGGTAAGTTTTATATCGTACAAAAGAAACCAATGATGTAGACTAATTAAATAAAATGAACATTACTTATTTCGTCTTAAAATTTTGTTTATGAACAGTCTATCAGAACAGTGTTCTCCAGGTTATTTTAAATAAATAATTCTATTTATTTTTTATTACTGTGTTGGACTGACAAATTACTTAATTTGAAACTGCACGTTAAACTTAGCAATGATAATTTTATTTCTTATTTATTTATAAGCACACACGGCAGTTAGCTGTCTCAGACGCGAAGAGTCTATCTTTAAATATTACAAATATTTCTTTTTCACTATATAACACTTCAGAGCCTTTAGCCAAATTTCACTTTAGCGCTTGTCTACAGAAGAGTAGAAAACAAAGAGTATAATAAGTATAGGGGAAGTAGAAATCTATATGTATGGGGGATGACCATATATATATAACATATCATATCAGTGGGGATGACACTGACAAGTGTCAAAATTTACGTCAATTCCATCTTTTAAATTCATCTTTGTCATTGATGCACAGGCAGAAAGCGCCCAGCGCTTCTCTTCCCTTCCATGTTGTAAAAGACGCTAAACAAAGATTTGGTAGGTAATTTTTGGTTTTATTCATTATTCTGTATTAACTGCGTTAGTAAACAAATAACCTATGATCCCATCTGGAAAAACTACTTACTACCTGATTTTCAGACAAAGAAGGAAATATACACCTTCATCTTCTTTAGCTTTTTTCTACCCTTAGGGTGAAGGCTTCCTTCAGTTTCTGCCATCTCTTTCGGTTTTAAGCAATTTCTGTCCATTTTGTGCCATCTGTTCGTTTGATGTCATCGTACCAACGCATCGGGGGGCGGTTTTCGCCCCACGGTCTTAACAGGTGCTTAATTAATTTTAAGACATTGACGTGTGTAAGTTGCCGTTTTCTGTAATATAACAAGGGCACGGCAACAAGTCCGTGTAGAAATACAATTTGTTAATAAAAAAAGTGACCGTTGACCGCCCCGAGGTTTAAAAATTATCAAAATCCTTAAAATCACGGTTAAATTTTGAATAGGAGATTTTTCGGTTCAATATAGAATTTTGTATGGAATATTACATTTCATAACATAAATAATGAAAAGTGAGTGTTACATTGTACAATGGCATTAAGTGCCGTAATGTGCACCTGAGCCTACCCCTTCGGGGATAAAAGGCGTGAAGTTATATGATAGAATTTTGCGGTTATTAAAACACGTCTTAAGAGTATTTTATGTAAATCAGGTACAATGTAAGTATCACTTAAGTGCTACACAGTTTAATTAAAAGAAAACTACATATCAGAAAACTATAAAAAGAGACGAGTGGAAGGAGCGTAGGGAGGACTTTGAAGAAGAAGAAGGACCTGAAGTGGGACGACCATGGCGCAAAATAAATAAATAAAATGAACGTATCATCTATGCCGGCGGCAGTTTTACGTAATTCTATATCTATTTTGTAGGTACCACAGCATATGTGGTATTTTCATGGCTGTCATCATTCACAATTCACAATCATGTTCTTATTTATTTTTGCTTAGGTGAATATATAAATGTACTAAGCTCTAGGTACTTGTTCAATATTTTATTTATTTACACTTTATTGTACACCATAAAAACATACAGAGAAAAATAAACATAATAAAGACCTAATTTTTTTTTCCATTTTCCACAATAGTTCTACACTTACCGGGAACTGTCCTTGGGTGCATTTCCCTAGTGCATACAAGGATAGTCGTCGGTTTGTGTGTTCATTACATTTAGATTGAAGTTGTCTATGGCTTCGGCCTCTCGTACGCCTCCCAAATAACCGGGACCCTGTGGTCCCATGAATTGTAAAGACAATAATATAATAATAATAAAAAATATATAATAATAATATAATAATAACATAAACGTAAATAAGAATAACGGTATTTAATAACATTCACCAAAATACGAAACGTGAATGGTTAATTACTTCAAAGGTCCCCCAAAACAATTATTAAACATTAATTATTTCATCTTTCGTGTGCCTAAACGCGGATCTACGCGAGACAATATATTTTCTATTATGTCTCATATTCAAGCGGTTAACTGTAAAATAAATAAATATTTACATCTATAAACTAAAAACAAAACTGAAATAGAGAATAAAAATAGGAGGAAAGGAACTAAATAAAATACGTGCTTTTATATTTTAAATCGGATAATGGACATGGAGCACAACGGATTTGACTTTACTCGACATACACTATTGGTGACACCTACACAACAATGTGGAAATAATTATTGTAAATATTATCCAATTTTTTTATAATAAGACTAAAATAATATAATAATACATGTTTTATTCTAAACTAAATGTCACTTCAATCATATTTATTTTAGATTGTTAAATAAAACTGAAAAGATAAATATTTCCAACAAACTTCTACTTACTAATAAAATATTCGTACTTTTGACTAAACTTAAATCATCGCGGTTGCGTAGGCGTCGTACTACCACGGTGCAAAAGTGGTACTACGTCGTAGTCTCGTAGACTATAGCAGTCCGCTACGATTCGTAGATACAGTTGCGTAGGCGAACGCGACGAACTACGCCGTAGGGCCGTAGTCTTTACCGTAGTTTGCCGTAAAGGGCACACTACGGTGGTGTGTATGTTATTAGTACCTCGTAGTTATAGTCTTAACACTATGTAGTGCTATATAGTGTAATGTCTTTGTGTTACAAAAATCACAACTTTCAAATTGTTTTTTACGGATCACAAGTAATAAAGTAAATTGTTGTAGAAAAATACTTCTATTTGTTTGTTTTTAAATTTTAAATATAAAGGAATAACTTTATAGTTATGTAAAAATAATACAGTGATTACAATGTAGCAATTAACATTAATTGTCATCGAAATATACCAATATTAGCAAGTAATAAAATCATTTGGCACTGATTTGCAAAATAAATTCACAGCCCGACGGCTCTCGTGGTAAGCGCTCTAATGCAACGCAAACGAAAGATAAAGGGAATACACGAATTGTACCTTTGTAAGTATCTCGATAAAGAATACACCTTGATGTCTATTTTTTTTTTCGTCCCGAAGTAACTAAAATGGTAAAATGGTTCTGTTTTAGCTATACAATAGTTTTACAGCGATATAAAATGTGTAAAACAAAAAATAGCTGGTGAACCATTGCAAAAAGCAAACTTCGAAAGCGCACACGACCCCATAGTACATTATCAAAACATCATGCCATATAATTCTCAAAGAGGTATTTCTCCATGTGAATAGTCACTACACGTGTCGTGTTTCATTTTGTGTGTGTGCGTATTTAGATGATGTTTTTTTAAACCAAAAAAGAACATGGTTATTTGTTTTGTTTTTACTTTATACACCGAAAGTATTCCTTATGGCAAGTTGTTTTGCCTCGGGACGAAAACTAAATAATTTTCACGGTGTATAATATTGCAAATTTATGATCTATAGGGAAATAAGAGATAAGTAGAGACTCATGTTATCTATCATGTACCGTCATTATAGACACAATTAAAGGCCAATAGGTGACCGCTCGTTGTTTGACAGTTTAATAGTTAGTATCGAGTTAAGTACATTTATCATTATCGAACTATTGAAATATTTCACGTTATTACTAATTAAATAACTTACGTAATCGCTATCAAATAAGTTATTATTTCATTGCGAAACCAGTGTTTGAAACCATAAAGATACTTACATATGGACCAGAAAATATGTCTCTTATCAACGTTCAACATATAAAAATATTTTAGTGAAATCCTTATAAGTGTTCATATAGAACGACAAGTCGCGTTTGAAATGGGTGGGCGTCAATCTAG